TGCGTTTTGGGCATCATACCTGGGGGGGGGGTGATTTCTCGCTTTCTCTGTATCTCTCTGTCTCTCTGGTGAGTGCATGTGCCCTATAGCAAAAACCTCTCCAAAAACAAAAAGAAAGAAAGAAAGAAAGAAAGAAAGAAAGAAAGAAAGAAAGAAAGAAAGAAAGAAAGAAAGAAAGAAAGAAAGAAGGAAGGAAAGAAAGAACCTTCCATAGAGAATGGTCACGCTGAAACCCCTTCTCCTCAATTTCTCCTTCTTTTTGGGATTTTTGGACACACATGCACACAAGCCCAACATGTTTCTCGAGTCACTCAAACCACATGGCTGGCTATGTGGAGTCCAGCTACCTTAACCACCCGGCCATGGGCTGGCCCAACCCAATTTTTTAATGGGCAAAGTGTCTGAATAAATATTTCTCTAAAGAAGATGTACAAACAACCAATGAAAAGTGCTCTGCATCTTAGCCACTAGGGAAATGCAAATCAAAACCGTGATGAGATGCCACTGCACACCCATGAGAATGACTATAATCAAAGACAGATAATAACAGGGTGAGGATGTAGAGAAATCCACACCCCCATACGCTGCTGGTGGGAATGCAAAATTGTGCAGCTGCTTTAGAGAACAGTGTGGTAGCTCCTCAAATATTTAAATATAGAGTACCATATAGCTCACTCTTTAGTACATATTCAAGAAAAAATAGGGGCCAGGTGGTGGTACCTTGGTGGCACAGCTGCACCTACATGAGAAAGGTCTAGGTTCTTAGCCCAGGACCTCCATGAACATGTAGGCAAGGGTGTGTGCATGTGATGGGGGCCAGCTGAGGCCGGGGGTAGATTGGGGTGGGTGTGTGAGGATCCTGTCGGGTGTGTCTTTCTCTCCCTCATAGAAGAAATACATTTTAAAAAGAAAAAGAAAGCATGTCCACACAAAAACCTGTACACATCTGTTCATTGCTGTGCTATTAATAACTGTCAAGATGTGGAAACAACCCAAATGTTCAATAACTGATCCGATATGTCCATATAATATAATATTATTTTGAGGAAAAAAAACAAAAATAATAAAGTCCTGGTTACATCTACAATGTGGATGAACCTTGAAAACATTAAGGGAAAGAAGGCAGCCACATAGGACCGCATATTGTGATGTTATGAAAGGCCCAGATTATGCAAATCTATAGCGACAGAAAGTAGATTAGAAGTTACCTAGAGTTGGAGAGGATCGCGGGGGTGACAGCCAATGGTAGAGTTTCTTTGGAGGAACAGAAATGTTCTAAAATGAATTGCAGAATGGAAACTGTATATAGTGAATATACTACACATACTAAAAGCCATTAAATTGTACATTTTAAATGCATGAATTGGATAGTGTGTTAATTATACCTCAATGTAACCACTAAATCATCATAGCTAGGGGCCAGGCAGTGTTGTAGAAGTCTTGGAATGCTCTGTGTGGCTGACCCGCACAGGAAGATGCTGAGGCCACATTTGGAGTTCTGCCTGAACACACTGGGTATGCGCAGGCCCCGGATCCAGGGCAGGCTGGGGCTGAGGGTGCATCACAACATAAAGATCCTGTTGAGGGTGTCTGCCTCCTTGTCTCTGTCTCTGTCTCTTTCTTTCACACTCATAAAAGAAAGAAAATTTTAAAGATTATATTTGGACTGGCCCTGTAAACTAGTTATTAAAGAAGCCAGATTCCACATGACAACCATGGCTGGAATCCTGGCCCTGGAGACTTGAAAAACAGGCCGTATACATGTGCGTATATGGGCCAAGGCCCAACAGAATGGAGAAAGGAAGAAGAG